GGTGAGCCCAGCGTCCTCCTACGCCGCCATCTTCCTGCCTCTTCCGCCAACAGTGTATTACTACTGATCTCAACATGCAAAACTGAGGATTTTGTTTTTTGCACTTAGTACCAAAAATTATTTCTTCCTTAAAAATTCATGTTTTTCTATTAAGGATAATGTAAGTTATAATATATATATAATAGAAAAACTTGAGTTTTTATCTTTTGGTAGAAAAATAGATTTCTTCTTTATTCTTGCCTGCTGAAAAGTACCAATCTAAATTTTGATTCTTAATCATGGTAATCGCTTTAGCCTATACAATTAGTATATTTGCTCCCACCTTTTTCATATAGATTCTTATTTTTATTTTAGCAATCTTACTGCAACTTCTTTAACCTCTTCATATCTTTTCCTATGAATAGGTTATAAATTATAAAGAAAACAAGTCTGCATTTTGGATGTACACATAGTTTTATCTTAGATGAGTGGTGCTTTTATGCACAGAAAGAGTCTACGGAATTAGTTTTTCTAGCATCTTCCTTTAAAATTTTTTTTTTAATGTTTATTTATTTTTGATGACAGAGCATGAGCAGGAGAGGAGCAGAAAGAGAAGGAGACACAGAATCCAGAGCAGGCTCCAGGCTCTGAGCTGTCAGCACAGAGCCCAATGCAGGGTTTGAACACAGGAACCGTGAGACCATGACCTGAGCCACAGTTGGTTGCTTAACCGACTGAGTCACCTAAGTGCCCCTATTTTGCTAGCATTTTCTTTTTTTTTTTTAATTTTTTTTCAATGTTTTTTATTAATTTTTGGGACAGAGAGAGACAGAGCATGAACGGGGGAGGGGCAGAGAGAGAGGGAGACACGGAATCGGAAACAGGCTCCAGGCTCCGAGCCATCAGCCCAGAGCCCGACGCGGGGCTCGAACTCACGGACCGCGAGATCGTGACCTGGCTGAAGTTGGACGCTTAACCGACTGCGCCACCCAGGCGCCCCATGCTAGCATTTTCTAAAAGCAGTTCATCATCTAGTTGAAGAGAAAAAAAATATATACTCCTTTCATTGTCTATAGAATACTTTTGCGAGATGCAGTGATTCATAACCCTTGTGCTGTAGTATAGGGTGGTCACAGAGCAGCTCTGACACCCTGATAAGAGTTATTGACTATCTCCTCAGAAAAAATTCATACATGAATACACACATACTGTTGTAAGCAGTTTTGGGGGCCACAATTCCCTAACTCCATTTGACTCCAGGTTTAGAAAGTAAGAAAGGAGCTAACATTTACTGAATATAAATTATGTTTCATATTTGAACCCAAGATTTCTGGTTCTCTGGAGTTATTTTCACTGTTTCATACTAACTGCCAATCAATTGCCAATCACTATCTTTTATTCTTTCCTCCCCAAGTTATACCAGATCTTCTGAATATGGGGGTATTTTTAGGAGTAATACTCCTTGGTTAAACTTTCATCTAAAGTTTCTTAAGATATTGACTAATGTGTGGTAAAGTCTTTACTATAACCAATGTCAGTATTAATTAAATTGGAAATGAGATAAAAACTCAACTAGGGGCTCCCAGGTGGCTCAGTCAGTTAAGTGTCGACTTCGGCTCAGGTCATGATCTCATGGTTCATGGGTTCAAGCCCCACATCAGGCTCTGTGCTGACAGCCTATTTCAGATTCTGTGTCTCCATCTCTCTCTGCCCCTCCCTGCTCATGCTCTATCCCTGTCTGTCTCTCAAAAATGAATAAACATTAAAAAAAATTTTTTTAACTCTTATTCATTTTTGAGAGACAGAGACAGCTTGTGAGCGGATGAGGGGCAGAGAGAGAGGGAAACACAAAATCTGAAGCAGGCTCCAGGCTCCAAGCTGTCAGCACAGAGCCCGACGCGGGGCTCAAACTCACAAACTGTGAGATCATGACCTGAGCAAAGTCGGACGCTTAACCAACTGAGCCACCAAGGCGACCCCCCAAAATTTTTTTAACTCAACTAAAACATACATTCTTTGAGTTTGATATCTTTCAGAGGTGATTTTTATGTGTTTGAATTACAAATCTACTTAGATCCTGAATGATTTTTTCATGCTAATGAAAGTAATGCATGACTAAGCCTTGAGCATACTTGTAGGATTGGTAGGATGAGAAAAATGAACATGACTTATCAATGATCTATAGAAAATGCATTCTTAATTCAAAAATCTGTTAGAGAAATGATATTGAATAAATTTATTTTTCCATCAGAAGGGGGAACTACTTGGGGATTAAAACTATCACAGTCTTAAAATCCCCAGCCTCATTTATTTACCTACTGGTGAGCACAATTAGCTGTTACTGTATAAAGGCATGTCCCTGCTGGGGTAATGTCTCAACCTCTGTACACAAGGTTATGGCAAATAAGAACTTCTGGGCACATAAAAGGAGATGAGTAATTGAAGGACATGGCATGCTGAGTGTGTTCTTTCTCTTTACTAGGCATTTGGGCCTGGACTTGGTGCCTCGAAAGGACTTTGAAGTAGTGGATTCAGACCAGATTAGTGTCTCAGATCTCTATAAAATGGTAAGAAATCTAACACAGGGTAAGCTTGTTCCTACACACTTCATTATTTCTTCTTTGTTTGTTATTCCTACTTACACTATGAAACAGTATTGCTAAAATTGTTCCTTTGTCTTTGTCCCAGTGTATGTAAGGGATCTGCCTTATTCTGACACTACATATCACCATTGCTTTCTAAATGGAAATACTGTGCAAGGCTGTATTGTAACATCCAGGGATCATTTATCTGTTGGTTTTGCTAGTGAATGGAGTTCCTTCAGCCTGCATCCAAAATTCTGTCTCTCACCACCTCTTAAGAAGGGAAGGTAGTTGAAGCTGTAAAGATCCAGTTTATTGGTTAATGTAGTGATTGAACCTGGAAATAATTTAAAATATAGTAAGAGACAGACGTGATACATCCTTAGCTGTCTATTGGCTGTTACTAAAATGTATTGAGTTAATTGATGATGAAGATTACATTTTACAGCCTGAATGAGAAGTAACCAAAGGTAAAAAATTTTAAGGTAAAACAAATAAAGATCAGAAGCCTCAGGTGACTATTAAGCTTAAACTAAGGGACTGGGTAAAATATTGCTTTGTGGAGTTATGTATTTGAGTGTTTATTGAAAGAATTACAAGTTTCTATTTAAGGAAAATGTAATTTTTTAGGTAACTTTGAGGATACAAAGTATGTTGCCTGGTCAAGGACCTTTGGAAATTTGCCTAAGTTACACACAAGTAACATATCAATTGCTAATGTATATTTGCTAGTGTAGGAAAGCATTTGTGTATAGTTGCCCTAACTATGCTCTGTTCAGTATGATGCTGTAAAGCATGAGATTTAGAGATTAAAGATGAACAAGACTTATCCCATCCCTCGAGAATATCACCATCTGGAATATCGATGTTCTTTACCCTTTCTGGGTCATGGAGATCAGAGAGAATTTCTTCCCAGGACAATGCAAGTATGGTTTTGCACACAAAGTTTTACCCTCAATTTTAAGTAATTGACAGTTACTTCTTATGTTTTCCCATGAAGTCCATACATGGCCCCCAGGTTGAGAAACTAGTCTAGTGGGATCAAATAGACCACAAACAAACAATTCCCGTATATGTGCTGTATGCCATAAATGTATTAAGATGTTGTTAGAGGGAGTGACTGATTATCTGGGGCTGGGAAAAATCAGTGAAAACTTCCAGAAACAGTAATACTTACTGTAAACCTTGAGGGGTAGACAGGGGATCACCCAGAAGACAAACAAGAAGGAGAGACATTCCAAAATGGAATAGAGAAGCGGTAGTTCTAGGAAACTATCAGATATTTGGTAAGTTTGGCACGTAAGTATGTGTTAATAATTGGGAGGTAAGTCACAGAAGGAGGCAAGGGTCAGATCATGAAGAGTTTTATAAGCCCCATGTTACACTTTGTCCAGTAGTCTGGTATAGCTATGGGAGTAACATGATCGGATATGGGTTTCAAATGCTGACTCTGTCTATAGAGAATGTAAAATGCAGAAGACTGGAATCAGGAAGGAAAGAGACCACAGAAGTGATTCAGGCAATAAATAATGACTAGACAGCAATAAGAATGAAGAAGAAATGCAGTAGAGAATGTAGATGTTAGTAAATAAAAATGAATTTTGATCAATTAGATGTGGAAAGTGAAGGGTGATTGAGAGTTTGAGGCTAAGACCTCCCCTCAGAATGGTGGCTTAGAGGATGCTATTTTTGATGAGGATTTTGCATTTTATTCTAAGTGTGACAGAAAGCCTATGAAGGTATTTGAGCAGAGGAATCACATAATCTGGCTTACATTTTAAAAGGATCCCTCCAGCTGATGTGTGCAGAAGGACCAGAGTGGGGCAAGGATGGAATTAGGGAGCAGTCATTCAAGCAAAATATTTTAATTTTTGGTATTTGGGCCAGAGTTGGAGCAATGAAAGTAGTAAGAAATTGTTGGATTCTGAATGTGTGTTGGAGACAAATCCATTCAGAGTTGGTGATAGATTGATTTGGTATATGTGTGTACAAAAAAGAGGAAGGTCAGAGAAGAATGACTCCTATGTTTTGATCTTCCCAACTTTGACCTTGTAAAAGTGGAATAGGAAATACTGTGGGAGAGGCAGGTTTCAGAGTATAGCGGTGGGAATCAATACATTGGTCTGGTTTTTCTTTTCAAGTTTGAGATGACTTTTAGACTGTCAAACTGAGATGTTGAAAGTCTGGTGTTCAGAAGTGAAGCTCAGATATAACAACTTCAGAGTCATCAGAATATTATGTGGTATTACCATTTAAAGATGTTGGATGAGATTACCATTACCTTCCACAAACCTTCATACAGTGAAACCCAGTATTCAGCAGATCCTACACAGCACTTCTGGACAGCCAGACATCAATAAACATTGGAGGAAACCTCCCACATAAAAGTCAGAGACAGAACAAATACATGTGAAAGGAAATTGGAAGAAACAGACAAGTCAATAGAAGAAAATGGTGGTTACTGTCTGCAAAGAGAAATCCAGAAACAGCCAAGAAACAGAGTGGAACAATCTAAGAAGCAATTGAAGGAGTTCTAGAAAATTACAAATGAGTTAACTGGGATAAACTTGATAAAAATATTAGAAAACAGGATGACACCAATAAAAAATTAGCAATAGGAGAGAAATGTTAGGAAAGTTAGAGGTTTGATCCAAGAGGTCCAATGTCCAGATAATGGAGTTAAAGAAGAAAGAACAGAGATAAAGAAATAAAATTACTGAAGAAATCATATTAAAAATTTTTCCAGGGTAGTGATATCACCAAGATGGTGGAGTAGAAGATTCCATCCCCTGTCCTACCATGAAGATCAACATTTAGACAGGCACAAATGAAAGATAGCTCTGGGAGAGCTTAGAAGAAAACCATCACTTAAGAAGCTTCAGCAACACAGTGGAGCAAAAAAACCTCAGAATAACCAGACAAAAAGCATAGGAAGAACACTTTCATTTTGCTACATCATTCCATGCCCCAGGCTGGCACTACTCAGCACCAAGAAGGAACTCCCTAGCCTAAAAGGATTCCCCTCTCCAGGAAAAGGAGAAGAGGATAGGCGACCAGCCTTCCCAGCCCTTCAGGCACTGTATAAAGGATCCTCTTCAATTTTACCCCATCAAGAGACTGGCAAAGCTGAGACATCTAGAGATAGGTAGGAACAAGGAAAAGGACAGGGGCTACCCATATCTGCCATGCGGCAAGAGTGACCATGGTTCCCACTGGCCTGCTGGGTATAGGATCCCAGCAGCCTTCACTTCTGAGGACTTGAACAACCCTTATAGATGCTGCAAACCCCCTCAGCTTTCATCACTGAGGTCCTCGTCATGGGCCCTAGGAGACTGCTGCACCTCAGCATCTTTCACCTTTGAAGAAACCAGTGGCCAGCAAAGCTGCCACAGAACCCCTGCAAATTTTCTCACCCAAGTTTTTCACCCTGCAGGTATTTGCATTCACAGATGCCAGCCCCCTAAGCACCTCCTGCTCCCTCCCCACCCCTCTCTGGGGCATTAAATATGCAGCAGCTAGCCTAGACCCTGTGGCTGTGCACATGTAACATGCAAGCCTAGATTCCCATGGCTGACCTCTGTGGTTGTGCATATGTTCATATGTAGCCCCTGCTGCTGCGTACCTGCTGGCCTGACTTCTGTGATTGACCTTCATTGCCGTGCATGCTCCCATGGTGAACTCCTGTATACACAGGAGTGTATGCCAATAACCAAGGCCCCCACAGATGCTTATGGGCCCAGATCTGCCCTTAACAGTTGTCCATGGCTTTCATTGCTGGGCACACCTAAAGCTAACCCCTGAAGCTATGCACCTGCATACTGCCAGGCCAGTCTCTGTCCCAGTCTCCACTGCCTCCTACAGCTATGCGAAGGCATGCCAGTAACCAGAGCCCCTGCAGTTGCTAGTGCATGTGCAGTTGGCATCTGCCTCTTGTGCTGGTCCCATTAACTGTGTGTCTTGCAGCTTTCCCCTGACACTTTGCAGGTACCTTGAAGCTGAAGGTATACCTACTACTAGCTCTGACCACCACTGCTGCCTGCCCAGGTTCCTAGACACTGGACTTGGAAGAGCCACTGAGGACCCCACCAACCATTGCAGACACTGTAGACCCTCTGCACCTCTCTACGAAATCCCATGGTTGTCGCTATTGTTGACCCATGTGGCCTAAGCCGGTGAGACACACACTCCTGGCCCCAGAATTGCCATATGCCCTACACTTGGCATCCTGCACCACTAGACCCAGAGTCATAGCATTCTCTAGCATCCCCCTACCTATCAGTGAAGATCTTTCCTCACTGAACTCATTCAGTATAGTCTTGAAATGGTGACTGCTCTTCACATACACAGATAAATATTCAAGAGTACAGGAATCACAAAGAATCAGGGAAATGTGACATGAGCAAAGGAACACAGTAAACTTTCAGTGACCCCAAAGAAATGGAGATATACAAATTGCTGACAGATAATTCAAAATAATTGTTCTAAGATGCTCAGAGGGCTTGTAGCTCTCACAAAAAAAAATTTTTTTTTCAACAAAACTGGGTAAATAATACAAGAACAAAATGAAAAGTTCAACAAAAAGAAAATATAAAAAACAATGAAATAAATTTTGGAGCTGAAGGATACAAAGACTGAAGAATCAATAGAAAGCTTCAATATCAGAATGGACTCCTACAACTATATGGTCAATGAATCTTCAACAAAGCAGGAAAGACTATTCAATGGAAAAAAACAAGACAGTCTTTTCAACAAATAGTGTTGGGAAAACTGGACAGAAACATGCAGAAGAATGAAACTGGAACACTTTCTTACAACAGACACAAAAATAAATTCAAATGAAGGACCTAAACAGGAGACAGGAAACCATCAAAATGCTAGATAACACAGGCAACAACCTCTTCAACCTTGGCCGGAGTAACTTCTCACTAAGAGTAACATCTCACGAAAGGCCAGGGAAACAAAAGCAAACATGACCTATTGGGTCT